TAAGAATCAATACAATAGAATAGAACGTAAAGTTTGAAATTTAATTAAAATGGATTTAAATAATGATGATAAAATAAAAATGAGAAAGAGGTATATAGGGATAGTAAGTAACCAACTTAATTTTACGGTAATATATAAAACAATTATTTTGGGCTCGGGCTCTTGTATTTTCGGGGGAAAAAAGGTGTTTTGGAATCGGTATTGTATATTGTTGTATATTACTCGAGAGAAGCTGGAAAAGTGAATTTAAATAAAAATTGAGATATATTATATATAAAGAGAAATTATATATAAAAGAAAAATATATAAAGAAAGATATAGAACAAGAATTATATTCAAAAGGAGGTGATCCAAGAGAAAGGAGGCCCGAGCGATTATAATAAAAAAAAATCGTAAAAAGATGTGGGAGGAAAATACTACTAAATCACAACAAATTAAATGTCGCTCATTTTCACCAAATTATATAAATAACAGGTATTGCGATGAATTTATGAGCAAAAATAAGGTCATAAAACACAATAAAGAACACTCATTTAATAAAATATTAAGTTAATAGAATAAATACGGCAATTATTAAAATAATTCCAATCGATGAAACTTTGGTGGAGACTTTTGGACTTGTATTGTTAATCGAACACAATGTTACAAAATAACAAAAACGTAACAAAGCTGAAGGCTGCACAATTGCAGTAACAAAGCTCCCATGGAATTTATTATATGGTCAAGTTAGCGACTCGGGCGGTGTAAGAGCGTAACATTATTATGATTTGTCGTCTCCCGTAACGATGTACTTGAATCGCGCACTATATGATCCTTGTCCTCACTTACAGTTTTTATGTCTTTCTTTTTCAGAAAATAGCCCATAACCACCTGATGTTGCCGTGGAAAATGTCGCGACGAGACGAGCCGGATGAGATCGATGTTAAAGATTGTTTCTCAAGAGGCGCTTTTATCTCGCTTCGTCGCTCAGAGACGGCCCGGGTTAAAAATGTAATTGAAATATGACGGAGACTCGGGAATTCTCCAACTGAATGAGGGATGCTTAGATCTATTCTTGACCATCTCGCCGCGACGCGACGCCGTGTCGAGAGTGAGCTCGCAATGTATCACACCCGTTTGCCATGTCGCACCGGCAATTCGTGTCCCTACTAAATAAATGTTATTAACCACTTAATCCAATCCATTTGATCCACCGGGCCAATTCGAACGACTCTCGCGGCGTGTTTTTTTTTTGGTTCACCGCGCGACGCCCGTCCTCGGAGGCGGCAGGTGAAAAGTCTCCTCGGACGATCCGGCGAAATTGAGGGTGGAACGAGTGGCCGCAAGAAATTGGGGCGATGTTGCAATTTCAGCGCGGTACGGGGAAAAAAACTGGCGAAATTGTCGAGTTCATTAAGCGGCTACAATGCGCCCCGTTTTATTAAGAGACCAGCGACGAGAGGTGAATCAACCGTCTCGAAGATGAACGGAAGGAACGACAATGAAGCTGCGAGCTAAATGGGAGAGCCGGAGAGCCTCGGAATGATCGCGATAGAATCCTTTCAACTTTACGAAGCGGATCCAAAGTGCTCTCGAATTTCGAACAAAGCAAGGAGGGATTAAGTAGCAGCTCTACCGCTCGCAGGCGTTTGATATTCATAGATATTCCCGACGAACGGTCTAGTTCTCTCGATTGCCGAGATGTTTATCCACTTGGTACTTATTGGATCGCACCGTTTAACGCCTTTGAGGAGCACATATTTAATATTTCTTGGGCTTAATATTGATCATTCCGCTCGGATCGTTTAACTTTTCCAACAGCACATATTTAACGTTTACCGAATTTATTCACCGTCGAGGTGCCTCTTCTCGGCGCGCGCTATTCGGAGCTCCATACTTCGCTGCAGATAACGGCTTTTTTTCTTTCTTTCGCGATATCTCGCTACCGTTAAAATATTGAGTTATGCAAATAAGAAGTGAGACGCGGGCGTTCGTAGGTGGAACGCAGAAGCGTTTGTCCGGACGTAAAAGTACGAAGCAAAAATACACATCCACAATTTCGCGCGCACAATTCACGGGCCTCCCCCACCGGGATCCTTCCACGTCTTTCGTTATATTTTCCACGGTAAATAACCGGCGAGAGGGAACCTCGCTGCGTTTCAAGCGTTTCAACCCCCGTTTCACAAATTCAGACGTTTGCGATTCAGATCGCGCACAATAAAATTCAGCTGTCACGATTAATCTTCGATGCGCTCACTCCGGGACGTGGACTCGCGCAAAACGAGGATACACTTCTGCTGTCGGCCCGCGACTCTGCACTTTGCCCCGGAAAAAATGAATCTCTCCCCCGCGCGAGCTAAATTCGCGAGGAGGCAAACACGTTCGGCGAGGATGAACGTACAACGACCCGTTTGGCAATCAACCCGTGCTGCGATCAAATATTTTCTCACTGAAAAAGCGACCTGTGTTAATCTCGCGTATCATTTCGCAACGCGAAGCGTACGAGCTGACGGAAGGACTTTGATACAAAAATCGGAGAGGATACCGCTTTCGCTCGGGTTGGATCTTGTTTGCCTGATAATAATATTTCTGTCTACGAATAATTGTTAATCCAAAGAGTAGAGACGGCACCCAATAAACAAATTGGTGGAGGGATAAAGGCCAATGCGAGCCAAACGCAGGTATTCGTGCGAAAATGTCCAATATCGAACTTTTTAATAAATTCGTAAATTAATCATCAAACGTATTTAATCATCGAACATATTTGTGTCTATATAGTCTCGCTGAGGATGGCCCGAAAATGGACCGAAACGTTCGATGATTAATTTACAAATTCAATAAAAAATTCCATATCGGACATTTTCGCACGGACACCTGCGTTTGGCTCGCATTGACCTTCTTTCCCTCCACCAATTTACGAATAATTATATTTCTCACATACGGTTGAAATCGTAGTAAAATAAGTTTTAATTTGGTGCTAAAAAATTTTCAAAATTGTAATTAAAAATGTGGAGTGGTGGGGGTATTTTGAAAGGGAAAAAATTAAAAACTCTTTGCTCGCAGTTTTAAAGTATTTACTATTGAAACTGTCCAACGTTCATTAAAAAATTTTTTTTCACACTTTCGTCAATATTTGCCCCCGATAGAGAAAATAAAATTTTCTTCAAAGGGCTATTTCACCACCTAAAAGTGCGTATGGGCACGTAGAAAGAAAATACGTGTCCCTTATTTTGAGCTGAAGAACAACATATGCAACACTCATCAAAATCGATGTGTCCCCACTTTAAATCGATAAACGATTTTGGATTTTGATGTGCAACACGTTTGAAATCACTGTAAAGAATTTGCAAAAAAAAGCCTTCTCTTTAATAATACTTTTGTGCAAATTTTCTATACTTTTTCCACCTCGGTAAACTGCGCGCCAGTTATTTAACTATTCTAAGTTCTAAGTATTAATTGTCTATTCTAAAGCACAGCTTTTGTTAAACTAGTAAATCCGCGAACTTTTAAATTGGTAATTCATTTTTGCTAGTAAATAATGTCAATAAACATATTAAAATCATTGTGAACGGTTAGTCAGTTAAGATTTTTCGAACCTGGACTTCCCACCACCCTGCAATCCGTGACGAAGTTGTCTTCACCGGAAATTTTGCTAACGAGAGAAAGATTTCCAGAAAGACACGCCGAGAATATCCAGATAGAATATTCGCATTAAAATGACGAGAAAACTCCTGCTGACGCGTAAGAGCGCGAGAAATCTGTTTTGTAATCAAAAGAGACGTGCTTTAATTTTCGTAATCACGGGCGAGAGCACTGGATTCGTTGAGAGAAGCTTGAGACAGGCGCACGTTAATTATGTATATTGCGCCCATTACGGGAGTTACGGCGCGAATTGCAGGTAAGTGTTCGCGAACGCGGGCCACTTGGGAGGAATGTGGAAAATCTTTGGGTGATTTGCGCAATCAGGAATCAACAGGTACGCATGATACGAAGATTCGACGAAACGAGAGTGTAAACGCGATGAAACGCCGCGTCCGTCGTGGAGTGACACAGCGGTGAAAATTAAGTTCCGTTAATCTGAAGGGGACGGAAAGTTCGCGAAAAAATGTACGAGGCTGCGAAGAGGAAAGTTTCGGAAATGGGGGGGGGGGACAAGTCCCGAGCGAAAGTTCATTTTGATCCGATGTGAATGTCGCGAATAAAAGAGGCACTAACGATCAACACGCGTGTCCCAAGCAGAACAAGAAATCGTAGTTAGGTCAAAATTATATCGTAATGACTGTCGAGGTTCACATTTGAACCACGGCAGAAAATGATCAAATCGCGATTACGAAATTTAGCCGTTTAACATCGTTCGCGATTGTTTCAACTCTCGTATCAGATTATTTCCGCGATACTCATAATTGTATGCAGGACTTAAGTATGGCAATAATGAGTGATAATTAATGGACACAGAGTGTTCTTTTGAACGAAATCGATGCTATTACACGAATACGATTTGTATGAAAAGGTGCGATATTTTGTGAGGTTTGTATTTTTGAACTTTTATTTTATTGTATCTTGCAAATGGAAAATATATCAGGATATCAACGTCTCGAAAATCAAGATATTTACGAATTCATGCAACATAATATCTGCGGGATTTCAATCATCTTGCATGTACACAAGTGATTTACGTTTTCTCGAAAGCTAAAATATAGTCGTAAAAAATGCAATTATGCTTCGTTAAAAGCGTTAAATATATCGTCGTAATTTCTTAAATGACTTCTTCTTCTGCTTGAGACGATATTATTATCGTAGCACCAATCGTCGCGTCGTCCGTCACAAATGCTTCATTCATCACGAACGACGGCGTCGCGTCGCGTCGCGTCGCGTCGCGTCGCGTCATTATATAATTTCGGGGCGCACGAAAGTACGCTGATAAATGCGCAATAAAGAGTTAACTCGCGTATTAATTAGAGCCAAGCGCGTCCGGCGGGTGAAACGCGACCGAATTCGATTGGAAGAAGAAGCCGAGGTACCTTCGCGCTTCCGGTCCAAGTCGCTGCTTCACTGTCGGCGCACTGTCACTCGATTCGGCCGTTGGAGGATTCGCGCGGCCAACCTCACGGCGTTCGACGGCCTCAAGCGCGATTCGCGAGTCCGGCGGCGACGTCCCGGCCTCGCGCCCACTGTCTTGTCGAGTGCGTGATGCTCGGGCAACGGGGGTTGGATTCACTTCCGCGTGTCGCGCGAGAAAATCGGCCCGGCCGCGAGCTGGGTGACACGACTCATCTAGACGCCGATTGTAAACTGAAAACAGAGCGCGCCGCGCGAAACGGACGAACTGCCCGCCAAGCCGAGCGCCGGCGGGCGCGCCCGAAGACGCCCGAGGAAAAACCGTGAAAAGTCTCGCGTACTTATGGTATTCTTTACCGTCGATTCCTTCGTTTCTTCTATTTCACTCGAAACCCGTGGCCCGTGTCGAAAGTACCGAGTAGTCCTCATTAAATACCAACTAACAGTGAAGCCCGTATCAGACCACGGATTGAGATTGGGATTAGATTGAAATTTGACCAATCGGAGTAAAAGTTACTAAACTTGAGATAAGTATACATTACTGTGATTGGTCAAATTTCAATCTGATTACAATCTCAATCCGTAGTCTGATACGGGCTTTACGCAACATTAATATTACATACAGGGTATCCCGAAATTCGAGGATAATAAGATTGCAGCACGGAAGTTCGTAAAAATTGAGCAATGAAAGTGCATTTTTTTTAAATAAAGCAATATTTTAACTTATTTGAAGTATATAAGAATTTAAAGTATAATTTATAAACATTGGTTAAAGACTCGTCTGTCTCATTTGTCGGTGATCGATCGCGAATGTGTTCCGACATCTATAAATACCATTGCACGCACGACACACGGACAGGTGACACTTGAACCAACGCATGTGATTGGTTACATTTTAAATTCTTATTTATCTAAAATACTACTTTATTTTTAAAAAATAGCATGGACTTTTCCCTGGTAAAAATTTTCCTCAGAATTTTTTAAAACCAAACATTTCCAAATTTTTTATACAAATTGGAACACTTTTCAGAAGCACAGAGAAAGTATATATCCTTTCTAGAATTTTTTATATAAGCAACTAGTAAGAATATTCTTAAGTCGCCAGAAGTAATTAACAAATTAATAACATCAGTTTTATTGACCGTGTCTGGCAATTAAAATTCTTATTGCGAAAAATATTACCCCAGCCAGAATTCGAACCTGGGACCTCCCTCAATCCGTAGTTTTTTTTTATTATGTGCCTGACGGAATTGACCAATCATAGTCGATTATTCTTACGACTGTGACTCTGCGACTCTCATTGTAGACCCCGCATAATCCCCAGGGGTTCGATTCTTGAATTCATTCGAGGAAGAAACGTATACGAAAATTCTATATTCTCTGACAGAAAAGTTGAAAGTCGATTGGTTAAAAGCCAAGTAGCCAATCAACTTGCAACTTTTCTGTAAGAGCAGAATTCTACTTCGAACAAATTCAAGAATCGAGCCCCTGGTCCACAATCTTGCTTTAAGTGAGCTGTAAGCCTTAAGCCGTAAGAAATTGACCAATCACAGTCTGAAGTGAGGAGAATAGTCGCTTGTGATTGATCAATTTCTTACGGCTTAAGGCTTACTACACCTATTGTAGACCCGGCTTAGGCTGGATCTACATTGGACGTCGTAAGTCGTGTCGGAAAAAATTGACCAATCACAGTTCATTATTCTTCTCTCGTAAGGAGAATAATAGACTGTGATTGGTCAATTTCTTCCGAGACGACTAACTACATCCTATGTAGACCCAGCCTTAGCCCGGGTTTACAATAGATGTAGTAAGCCTTAAGCCGTAAGAAATTGATCAATCACAAGCGATTATTCTCCTCACTTCAGACTGTGATTGGTCAATTTCTTACGGTTTAAGGCTTACTACACCTATTGTAGACCCGGGCTTACAGCTTAAGCCTATCACACAATGCCAGGCAACAAGCAATAGGAATAGAGAATAGAATTTTTGACGCGTTGGATTCGTCAGAAATTTTCTACCAACCAATCCAACGCGTCAGAAATTCTATTCCCTGTTCCTGTTGCCTGTTGCCTGGCATTGTGTGATAGGCTTTACTTGAAGCAAGATTGTAGACCAGGGGTAATGGGGGTTTAATAACGTCCATAGTTACAAACTGGCCAATCACGACAATTTCTCAGAAGAGTGAAACGATTGCGATTCGCCAGCTCCTTAACTACGGCTGTTATTAAACCCGATTAAGCTCTCCGTCTAACAGCACTCTATGGCCGTCGTGAACGTCACGCAGCGCCTCCACGCAGTACGACGTCCACAGGCCGCGAGAGGGACGGCGCGTCGCGATCGCGAGCCCGTCGGTAGTGAAAAATGGCCGGAGCCAGCGACTGGTTTAGCATCGGCAGCACGGTGCTCTGTAAAACCTGCCATGAGAAGGAGATAGAGGGTGAGGTGTTGGCGTTCGATCCACAGACCAAAATGCTGATACTAAGTATCCTTTTCTCGAGAAAGCGGCGCCGATTGTTGGTGGCGGCGGCAACGACGATGGCGGCGGGCCCGCGTGTGCTCCCGTCGCGCGAGGACGCAGTGTAAATAACAGGCGTCGCGGCGACGGCGTCCTGTGCCGCGTGTCGACGCGAGGCTTCCCGGTGGCCCGGCGCCGCGATCTCGATGTTACGCTCGCTACGTTCGCGTCTCACAATGCGTCCAAACGCGAACGTGGTGACTCGGGCGCGCGATTCAGGTTAGTTTTCTTCCACCGTCAACCATGCTGGCCTACCTGCCCGCCTGTCCGTTCCCACCGTGCATGCACGTTTCGTTGTCGGCTGCATCTCGCGTATCGTAGCGTTGACGTGGTGCTCGCAATTCGCCCGATTCTTCCGTGAGTCTCGCTCGATCTTGGGAGCGCACAATCGCGCGTTTGCCGTCGACAATGGCGTTTATCACGTTCACTGGTGCACCGGTTATCTCGTCTTTGTACGACTTTCGATCGGATGTTTCGGTGATGTGGCACCGGTTACCGTTAGGTTTAGCGACATTGAACGTCTTAACGTATACCGGAGCATCCTTCTATTGGTAAATAGAAAATTCGCGGTCCCGTGATACGAATTGTAACAATCGCGGAACATATTTACGGAACTAGATGTTCCAGTAATGCCTTGGTACTCTGGAACTCAAGTTTCCGAGCTGTCCTCTCGTAGCCGGTTACTGAAATTCACAAAAATTTACCGAGATTTAATTGTTAATGTCGAACTTGCCCGTTGTGTATCCAAAAAGATGGTTTTCCTTAACTCCAACTTGTTAGAATCACCATCGTCAAGTGGGAGACCCTCGTTAAATGATATACATATAGTGAATTTATCCCTCGTGTCCAACGTTCAAGTGACGCGGGAAGTTAGTCCTACTACCAGCGAACCACCACAGAGCCTTAATTTGCAAAGGCTAAACACACGAGTCCGTAATCAGATCGACGAGAAGAGGAGACTGGTAATGGCTCTGCAGGCCGGAGTATCTCCAGAGGGACAGAAGCTCTTTATCGCTATCTCAAAAACTATTCAAGATATTACGTGGAATGGAGCGAATATTGTTGTATTTAATAATGTCACTATTAGACCGCCGTACAAAGTGGACAATGTTCATGGAAATGCAGAATCTGGTGCATATAGACATGTAAAAAAAGTGGTACGTATTAATGCAGAAAGTTTGAATCGGGCAGTCTTGTATGCAATCGTGTCGACATGGGTGTTTCTTCTAAACTGGCGAGTTTAGAAAAGTAAGCGCTGTAAATTTAAAAACCACCTTCAATGGGTACTTTAACATTAAAACTCAAATTCAATCACTTGTAACGTTCCGATGAAGATGACCTTTACAATTGAAACCTTTCTGAAGAAATTAAATATTTCTAATTGAATTAGCATTTTTATCTCTGACAATTTTGTTGCTAGATAAAGGACAAAAAGATCTAAATGCAAAGTATCAAAGTAAGAAAAATATTTAGATAAGACACGTACGATCGTTTCTAATTAATTTATTTTTATTGCATTTACATTGTCTTGCATTCACGCATTCCGATTGTCTCTCGTAGGTTGAGAAACACATTAAGGATACATTACAAGCACAGCAACAACGGGATCAACAACAACAACCAACACAAAAAGGCGGCGAACTGCAATAAGAGTCCACCAAGGCACTACGTCATCAAGGTCACTAGCATATTTTTGAACAAGTTCCAGTGACAAGAAATAAGAAGGAAGAATTAACAGAATATCGAAATAGCCCGACTACAAAGAAATAATTTAGATAAGCCTATCGCGGATAATCGGCACATCTTCAAGCCAGTCGTTTGTTCAAATGGAAAGAAAGACAACAAGAGCGCAGATTCGACACAGAAATTTCACATCGACTTTAATTCGAGTATTGTTAACAGTATCGTATGTGCAGCATTTTATAAATACAATCAGACGTACAATTCATAAAATTATTAGTCACCAGCCTAAAACGAGAAAAGAAACCACGGAAAAGCAAATTGGCCGACCAACTGAAGCTGTCACGTATCCGTCAACATTACCGGCGTTACATTCGTACGCGATGTGTACCAACGGCACCGAAGTGCGAGCTGTAGTTTAGTTCAAGGTCGGTTTGTCTGTCGTCAGCGAGCGAATCTCGGCGCGATTCAATTCCCCCTTTCTATACAAAAGCCCTCGCGTCCACGAGACGCGGTGTACTCGATTTAAATCCGTATGAAACGGTCCGAGCTTTCAAAACATAACTTTCGAGATCCGAAGGCGAGCGCGTCGTGCGAAAGTAAGATAAAACGCACAATTGCCAATGTCTAGAGCGCATTGCGAACCCTGGTAGTACATATATTGACGCAATATAAAAAAAAAGTTAAATCTAACATTCCCAACATTGGCTCAATATTGGATTTTTTTTATTTAGTCAATGTGTCTTCTACAATATTGACTTAATATTGTATCAATATTATATTGCTAAATCTTGGCTTCCAATATAAATTCAATATTATATAATTATTATCATGCAACATATTTATTTCATGGCCGATATTGGCTTTACATCGGAAAATATTGGCCAATGCACTCCCATTAATATTGGACCGATGTGGACCTACATTTAGTCAATATACTGTGCTACTAAAGGATAGTCTTGATCTGCGTGATTCTTCTCGGCAAGAAATGGGTTTACCGTCCGCGGTATCGTAGCAATATATTGTGTATTGCGATAAGAAAGGGAATCATTCCACGACTTTACGTTCCATCGAACAGGTGAGGTGTAAACCACGATCGTGTTGTCGAGACGAATCGATGCGCGAGGGCGATTGTTTCCACGCAGATGGAACGAGCACGCGAAACGTGTTCTCTGTCGCGTTAACTGTGGAAAGTAGGAGGACTCCCGGTGTATGAAGCGAACCGCGTTCGCCAGCGAGCAAGCACATCAGCATTTCGCGCCCTCTTATCATAGTTTCGCCGAGACGAAACACGTGCGATTAATTTGACGATTCCCGTTCCTGTTTCGAGGCTCGTTTGTGCGAGCGACGATTCCGCGTTATTCTTCGGCGCAGCCCGAACCTGTCGCATCGACCGACAAGAAAGAGATCGCCGACACCCGCGATTCGTCACGAATTGCACGGGACGCCTTCGAGAACGACGTCTTGGTGCGTCCGTCGCGCAGGGCCGAGCGTTGTCAAGAATGTAATTTACAATGGAAAGGGTGAGGGCTCTCGGTTCTTGCGAGGTTCATCCGATGAACTCCACGAGAGACGGTGCCGTCCTCGGGAGACTGGCTCGAATTCGTCCCGTGTTGGTTTACCATTCAAATGGAGAGACAATGAGAGTGAGAAGGCAGGCGTGGAAGATTGTAAGAAGAGTTACACGAAGGAAAAGACATAAATAAATGTAATATAAATTCTGTAGCCACGGATTCTCTTTCTATTCGAATATATCGCTTGCGCTCGCTTGTTCCTTGCGAGCGATCGATCGATCGACCGTGGCATCTCGCGGCTATCGATCTTAACGACCCTGGGTGCTCTCGCTGTAGACATCTTGGATCGTGACGTCAGAAGCGAGTGATAACATGCTGAGATTATTGCATGGCATTTTTCAAATAAAAAGATATTTGGAAGAAAATAACACTTCAGATTATTTTAGCACTTATAAAATATTTAAATTAATTCTTTCCTCGACGGTTGATAAACAGCTGTAAAATGTAAATGTGGCGTCACATGACTTGAGATTCGTACGACTCGTTTCACGACTCTTCATCCACTGTCAAGAGAAGGACATTAATTTTCAGAATATTTTTAATTTTAAAGTAATCTGAGGTTTTTTATTTCAAGCATTTCTTATTGGAAGTTTTCAGCGTGTCATTACTTGCTTCCGACGTCATCATTCAATATAACTGCAGTGAACACCCAGAAGCTTCAATGCTAACGAGAATATGTCTTACCGTTTTTAAAATAGACGGAAAACCAACTACGAAATACGACTACGAATTACAGCTATGGCCTCAAGATGCACCGCACGGCGGTGCGCTCAAAATTCACTCCACGTTCTCCTCCGTTTCCTCGATTGTTTCCGAGACGTCACCTGTCGTTTTCACGCTCGCAGATAGGTCGTGCGTCACGCGAGCGATTCGGGCGGCGGCCTTGAACTTTATCGCGGCCCGATGTTTCTCGGTCTTCTTTTTCCACTGAAACAGAAAAACGGGCGGAACGAAGTGAGATTCGTATCCCTTGCAGTTTTCGCGGTTTTAGCCGCGCATGCGCAGTTCGTCCTTTACGCCATAGGCTATAAGCATAGTATAATGCAGGCATGGAGTTTATACACAGCATGTAAGTCGTAGAAAACGCCCAGTCTATTCTTGCTACGTCTATGGCGAGAGCGCGCTGCACACGAGAGAGCGGTAAGATTCGTTCGAGCGCTTCAACAATTCGTTAGTTTTATTTTTCCCGTCGAAATCGTCGCCCGTCAAAAGAAGCGGATCCTGGCGCCTGTCACGCGGACAAGAGAAACGGAAAATTTCATTTCCACAGCAATGCGTGACTTAATATTGACAAGGTAGTTTCGGGCGTACACGTGCGCAAGAACGCCAGAAACTTGGTTAACGTCGTAGAAACGTGATTATATGCATTTGTGACTTTGTAGATCGCACGCAGGACGTAACGGGTGAAGCCGGAGCATCCTTCACGAGACCGAACGGCCGATCGCGCCGTCCCGGTGACGTCCGCGATCGCTCCGTCGGCGCCGCTGACGGCGATCGTGTCGAGCGCCGAGTGTCCGGCAACGAGCGGCGACGTCTCGCGTAAGTCTCGATTATTCCCTCGACTGCCGCTTCTCAGTTCGACTCTCCAAACGCGTACCTTTGCCGCTGCGACAAGCCTGATCCTAACCTAACTCTAACCCTAACCTTATTTTTCTTGGACGCGCATGTAAACACGCGCTTCGGCAAAAATTGCGATATATATGTACATTGTAAGGAAAATCCCCTTTAAGAATTGAAAATTGTGCGCTATCAGTAAGTTTGTACGTGCGTCGGCTTGAACAAAAGCTGATGGAGCTTAAATTCTCACACCGATGTGTTTACCAGTGAACGTATGCACTTGTCTTTTTCCAGTTTGGCGCGCGCTGATGGCGTATAATTTCTGTGTACCGCTCTAGTTTATAGTGTTTATATACCACAAGGGCTGCGTGCCGATATTCACTGCCAGTGCTGAAAATCTATGGTATAAGTTACGTAAACTGGAGATTTTCAGTACGGTAAGCTTCGGTATTATCCTCGTGATCGGTGCATCGAAATACGTGAGTATACGTGAAATAGTAAAATCAGAGGTTTCAGCTCTTCGGAACTACACCCCACGATACTAATTTTCTCACTGGATTGCCTGCGAGAGCCAATAAGGATACAGAGTTTTAAGCACACGATACTATTTCAATTGTTGGATTAAAGCCCGCTGTAGACGATGCTATTTTTCCTGCTGGGTTGCTTGCGATTTAGTAAAGTACTAGAAATCTTGAGTGCCAAGTGGTGCGATGATTGTGATTTATTAGATTGCAAGCAATCCAGCAGGAAAAACAGCATCGTCTGCGGCGGGCTTTACTTGCTTGCGCCTGTGCTAGCACCATGCAGTCTGCTAGGCTGGAAACTGTGTGTCTACTTGTCACGCTGCTGGTTGATCTGCTTGATTTCTGAATTAGAACTGTTGCTCTATTTCAGAAATCAAGCGGATCAACCAGTAGCGTGACAAGTAGACACATAATTAAACACCAATTTCTTTTCTATTAGACTTCTGAACTGAGTGTTTTAAGTATGAAAATGTTCGGTTCGCAACTTACCTGGAATTATTTTATGCATAAAAGCGATAAAAGGATTTACAAGCGCAAGAGCTACATTTGACCGTGTCGGTAAAAAAATGACCGAAGAATCCTCTTAACATTATAAATGGAATGGAAATTTATCTTGTACAGTATATCTAGACTTTAGGTACACTTAATTTCTCTCTTTCTCCAGTGTTTGCGCGCGTACTTGCGTGCGTGTGTATGGGGGGGAGAGCGAGGGTCCACATACAGTGTAAAACTCGAGTCTGTGGGTTTGCTGAACCCAGAGAGAATTGTGCGGATCAATGTAATAGGTTTATCACTAACATATCTACTCCTCTTTTTAAGATCTCACGAAACTGTACACAGTTACCACGAGTTCTCTTCCTTACCTGTTCGTCGCGAGACGGTACATTTGCAAGGTACTCCCTCATCTCGGGCTTCGCAGGATCGGCTATCGCCAACACCGACACGCAGCCGTCGACCGTCCCTAAAATGATGCTCCTGCCGTCGTGCGTGCTGTCGATGGCACTCAGCTCGGCTTGCACTCTGTAATTAGCTATCATCTCGCAGTCCAAAGATCTGCGAGACACATTATTCGCACATACATACAACGCGTTCTAAACATAGCAAAAATCGATAAGGCGCGAGTGAAAATCTCGAAGGGACTTCTTATGATCTTCTAATTTAGTCCTTATCAGTCTCGAGTGTGTACTCACCTGAAAACCCTGATGGTCTTTCGACCACTGTGGTAGTACAACACGTACTCGTCTGTACGATTGAACATTGATATAACGGTAAACACGCCCTCGGCTACCTTGGGTATATATGTCTTCACGCTTGTACCTTTTTTTAATTCTATGAGTTCAAGGCCCCCTCTGAAATATATATTGTCACCAGGGTATGGAAGTAATGCGTTACTTGTAACGCCGTTACAAGTTACGTTTTTTACTCGATAACGAATAACGGTAACTAGTTACTTTTAAAAAGTAGCCTTCCCATCCCTAACACTTTGTAATACAATATGTAATTAGTTCTCCAACTGAACATGATTTTTCGGTATCTTTTTAGCAAATACGTGCGTCTGTCGCGTTCGACACTGTTTTCCTCATCTTAAAGTATTACAAACAAATTTGAAACTCGCGAAACATCTATTTTGTAGCTGATGATGTCACAGTCATTTTGAGGAAAATTACTTGTTGCATATTTTATTTTTAGTGAATTCTGCACAATTACGACGAGAATATGTGCCCGTATGTACCTTGGCCACGTGTTCAAACGGGAAGTTAAAAATATGTCTGAATAACGTCCGCTTACCTGCTAGGTGCATACAAAGTGTACTTTCCATCCTTACTGATGTTTCCGCTCCATTTTGGAATCGTACGTATAATCTTTTTCTTGTTGATATCGAGAATTGTACCTTTGTCAGAGCCAATAATACCTATCCATTGTGGTTTGTTGGGCATTGGTGTGATGCATATAATATCCTGTTGAATAATACATTTCTATAGCGACGTTATTTCACTTCGATTTTGGTTTGAATCTCGCCGAAAAATTTATCCCCATTTCTATTTCGTTAAAAATTCTTCCGCTATGTTAATAATCGGCTGAGCGAGTTACCTTAAATCCAGGCAACTTTACAGGTATTTTACTGATCAGCGTTCCCGTTTTCGCGCTGTAAATTATAACGCAGTCCCTGTTGCTCTTTTCAGCCGCTGGTACCGCCAGAGAAGCGTCGTCGGATGTTATCACAACTTGTCGGAAGGGTGTACCGACGTTACTTCTTACAGGATATTCCAAAGAGAATAGCGTTCTACCATCTAATATAAATTATACAATGATGATATTTGTCTCTCAAAGATATTCGCCTTACGAAATTGAATCGAAACTTATATTCATCAGAATTACTCGCCAGGAATACTCCTCATGATGAGAGTCGCCGTGGTTCGCACGTTTTCTATTCCCGTAGGATTATTGGGCCTCGAGACGGCTATGAACTTCGACGAGTTCTCTATCAGCGTCAACTGCTTGACGCTCGTTTGCTCCTCCTTGAACAACACCTGCTCCGTAATTCTGTTCCAAATAAGAACATTGCCCGATTCCGTCGACACGATATACCTGAAATAAAAATCACTTTTGATTCTACCAGGTCTCCCCTGCCCCAGCTTAGTTCTCATTTGAACTGCAACTATATGTCTCGAGCCTTGATGGAAAGAGATTTAATCGCAATTTGGTAGAATTAAGACGAGAGAACAAAATTGACTCACTTGCTGTCCTGCGTGATGCAAGCGTGTGTAACAATTGCTCCTAGCGGACTGTCGGCTAGCTTTGATATCAATCTACCTGTCAGCAAGTCCCAAACACCCACGCAATCTCTGGTAACTGTAACGGCCAAGTTACCCTCCTCGGCTAAACTGTTTTACAAGAATGAGTCATGTAAATCGTACCTTTGTTTTTTTTTCTTTTTACAGATTTACCTTAACATGTCTATTTGCAATTCGTGCCTGTCGATGACGTGAACCTGCTCGAAAATATTGTTGATGTTCCACACCTTAACGCTCCTATCAATACTCGATGTTACGACGCTATTCCAGTTTCCAACGGTCAATGCTTCCAGTTGAATGATCCTCGCGAAGTGCGCATCCAATACTTTTACCAATTCCGACGTCTCGAGCGACCATACGTACAAATTTTTCCTACGAAATTTTCATAATTTATAGAGAATTCGATAATACTTAGCATTTATTCAATAAGAACAATATTCTCTGCTAGAGACTGAAAACACTCTGCTAAAAAGTTGTAACATTGCAATCCTATTCTTCAATTTTTCGAATTTCAACTTTGAATTGCTTTAAAGCCTCAAATCAATCTCTTGTTTCATTACAGTTAATTAATATTGGAAAAGCAACTTCACATTTTTTCCTGGTATTTGCAAGAATTCAAGTTTATATCAACGACGATGATTCTTAAATAACACGCACCTCACACCAGCGACAGCGTAATTCTTGGTGCCGCTAACCATAACAGAATTCGAGCACATCATTCGCGTACTGATGTTCCTGACTCCGTTCGGTAGCATTAAAACGTGCGCGTCGCTCTTACTTTCCAAAAACCATACGATGAACCCGTTCCCAGTCGTCGCCAGCAGCATCTCCTCTTCCCTGTCCAATTTGAGTTGCAACAAGTACTCCACGTCATCGTTATACGCTCGCGGCATATCAAACGCCTTTTCCCAGTGAGACGAGGTCTCGTCGCTTCTATATTTCGTGATTCTATAATCGTCCTTGCTTGTACACACATACAAAGTGTTTTTGTCCTTGGTCATGATCAGAGCGCTGAAAAAGTTGATCACAACAGCCCTCTATTATTGTGTTCCCTAACACGCTGTTAATGTCAATCCTATCTTACCTATGAAACTGAAACGGATCCAACGACGTCTTCTTCCTGTAAGTGTGCAAAAGCATACGCGTGTCGTCGAGGCTTCCCGACCAGAAGATAATTCTGTAGAGATCCAGATTCGTGTACTCCACGTCTGTAAGGGAACGCAAGAATAAGAGTCGCATGGCGTGAAAAATATAGGGGATCTGTTTCTTACACAGAATCGGCCACTTGTTGGAATCTTCGGGGTTGCTGTGAGTGTCAAGCAGATTCCCTCGCAAGTCAAATCTGCACCAGCCCAGCTTCCCGTAGATGAAAGCGTACTGATTCATGAGATGCACACCGCATACCGCGTCTCCGTTCGGTAAAGGATTATCGATGACGACGAATTCGCTCGTCAGGGTATTCAAAACGACACTCTGCGGGAAATCGTACGTCGTGAGGTATTCTTCAATTGATTCGAGGCTGATATTCTCTTAGTAAAAGCACCGAAACACTGAGAGTCTCTGAGTTACAAAGAATTTGTGAATCAAATTTCATGCATAAAAGTGAAGAACAAAATCGGTTTAATTTTCAAGGGACGCTCAATCGTTTTTCTCTCTCAGCAATTGAAATAATTTTTATCAGAATTAAATGAGCTCGTTGTACCTGATAGTTGGTTGTGAAAGCCGCGGCGTATCTGTTGTCGGGACTCAACACTAATCGTTGCATTATACCCTCCACGCCAGGATTGACATCCCTCGTCATGTCGCTAGTACTTAGATCCCAGGTGATAAATTTATTGGATATCGATACTACGTAGCGATAATCTGACGTTAAACAAAATCCGAACACCGCGAACTGATGGCCTTCCAACGAATACTAAAGAACAATATGTCACGATTCAGAGATATTCCACCAGTCAATTGCGTAGAAGATAAAAGCTCTTTGATAAAAATGAACAATGTTCAATAGGACGTGTTAATGTGATATATATATATATTTTTTTTATGCAATACATTTGAGGAAATGGCAAATAATTTCTTCGATATGGAATTTCCTGGCCAAAAGTATTATACAAGATAAATTGTATAAATAAATACACAGATTACCTTTAACGGTCCGCCAGGTGTGTGCAGACAATGGTAGAGAGGAAGGAGAGCGCAATTCTTGACGCCGTCATGATCGCATGCTCGGAGCAACATTCTTACGTTAACATTTGCGCCGATCTCCGGCAACAATCGACCGATTAATTGCGGCGCAAGCATATCAGGATGATTGCCCAGGATTGCGCCGCCAAGTCTTAGAGCATCGGCGACCAACATTAGTTCTCTGGAAAGATTAAGAACGTCGGATAACAATATCTGCTAATCGTTTATAGAATATCCGAGAGAATAGAAATATTCGAAAAATAGATTGAGACGTTCAAATATTTCGAAAGAGTCAGAATGTCTGATAAATTAGAATATTCTTAAACTTCTGCGTTGCCCGACAAGGTATTTGGTCTTTATAGCTTACCTGACCAAGCTTTGGTTGTCAACAAAATTACACGCGTCTTCGAAATCAGAGAGCACAGCTTGCAAGGGGCAAGAGCTTAGCTTCGCGTGCAGCCACTCGTAATTGAATAAAACGTTCTCGAAGAGATCGTTAAAGCGTCGTGCTCTTATCAGATGAAATGGTAATTCGCCAAACTTGAATCGTGAAACAAAGAGATACTTTTAGCATTTGTCTTTATCATGACATATTGTTCGTTAATACCTTTCGCAAATTGTATCGCGAGACGGTTCCCTCCTTCGAGTAAAACGCCAATGGTTGCTCTGGTACTTTTCTATCCGCCACACCTTCCTTGTCTGTTAAATTGAATCTACAAATATAATATGCAAATATTATATTATTCCTTTATTACGGAAAGTTTCTCTAATAGGTAGTAAAATCAGCCTTTCGATCTCTTTGGAGTCTCTGGAGTCAATTTTTTAATACAACATATTGTTTCTTTTCAAACTAATTGTAAATAAATCGTTTTAATGTCTTAAAACTAGAGATCTAAATCTTTGCAGATGAATTCATGAGAATTATTCTCTCGCTACCTCTGACGTAAAGTGACATTAAGTGACTTCAATTCAAGACGTTGCTCATCGCAACAGTCCGTCGTATTTACCGATGTCTCTGTATTTCGGTGTACTTGAAAGGCTTCGGTTTGCCGCCGCCCCAAATTCCTAAATAATAGTCCGCTATCATGGAGTGGAAATACAACGCCATGTTCATGTTCTTGAAGTATCGCTCCTTGGCCGTGTCCCTGAATTGCCTGTGGTACCAGTTCAAGACGCTCACACCATCCGCTTCCCTTTCGCTCAGATAATTGGGCAGATCGTTCCGTATTCTGGTCCAGAGTAGAGGCGGGATACGCCTTACCGGTGGCAAATGATATTGATAGACGTCGTCGAGAACCTTATCGTCCAAAGAGATCAGATCCTCGAGCTCGGATTCCGACAGGCCGGACTTAGCGGCCGTGATATAGGCCAGAGCATGGAAAACTAGGATCTTGCCGTGCTGCTTTTCGATTCTCTCGAACAGCATCATTATGCTGTCCATCACCGTGCTGGCCAGGTGTGTGTCCGCCGGTTTCGTATAGCTGCGCCATCGGCAAATCTCCGCGAACACGAGCTTCACGAAGATCGGCAGGGAACACTTCGATATAGCATTCGCCACCAGCCGCCATTGATAGTTATTCAGATCTCTCCTGGCCGTTTTCATCCACATTCTGCAAGAATCGGCGAACAATAAGTTTCGAGATAATCTTCAGGTGGGGATATTTTTTTTCATTAATTCGAGAAGCAGATTCTTCCCTTGATAATTTGGACAATATTAGTGATGTCTTCACCTTATCACATCCATGGCTAGCTCCTCGCCCAAGGCAGTTACCTCGATGAAGCTTTCTTCGGTGTCTATCATCCTGCGTAGTAATTGATAATCCCTCGAAATCACCGGATTCGATTCCTCCGCCGCGCAAGATAAGATCATCTGAAACATGCACGTTAATTGAAGTTGGAATTTTTTGCATACAGAATCGACATAATCGGAATTTAAACTGTATCTTAAAAAGTTTCTTCCTTCGTAATTTCTTTCGCAATATTGTGTCGTTATTTAATGGCTGCGGTTTACCTTGCAGTTCGATGGTAGTCTCGTAGGTAACCACGATAATTTGTTACCCTGTACGCCTGTCAGCTGATCGACACTATCCAGAAACAGTAGAATCGGCTGCTGGCCGTTAGCCAAGGTCAACAGATATTTGAAGTGGGCTGTGAGCGGCACCAGATCGTCCGGGATCTCCTCGAATGACAATCCGTAATTGTATGAGATCTGTGAACAGTGACAAAAGTGTTTTCATTGTTATCTTCCGAAGAAGAAAATAACTACACCCTCACTTGCTGACAGATTGAGATCATCGTGGGCGTGAGCGCGCTGCTATCCGGGGTAGTGCCGAGAAACCGAATTATGCTGATCGGTTTTTTACCAGTCAGCCAGGTGCTACTCGTCAAACCTGCACTCTTCGCCAGCAGAGAAGTCTTGCCGCATCCTCCTTCCCCATACAACACTAATGGCTTATCGCTGTCACCCAGCATGTAATTTTTTATCCTTTCCAGCGTGTCCTCGCGTCCGTAAAACACCTGTTCGAATGCGACAAGTGTAAAGAGTATAATCCGCGAAAGGCGAGATCAAAAGTAGCAATATTGATAAAAAATTTTGAGTTTTGTGTTACCTAGGCGATATCTAATCATGAGTAATGTCAGAAGTACTTAATTTTTGGTGTAACTTTAACTTACTACTTTAAAACCAGTGTAATATATAGATACGTATAAAAGATTTGATACAAGAGAATTATAAGCTCTGTTCTTTGTAGCTGAACTGGCTACACCAGGGCAGAGTTTATCTTTGTTCATCCGCATTGGAAGCAGAAGGATAAACACTGAAATAGTACAGTTAGTTCAGCTATATAAGAACATACTTATAGATATTATATTGACTAAATTTGTCATATTAGTGTACCTTTTGTTAACAACTTTTATCATTCAAGATAAACACCATCTGTTTCAATGCTATTTTTTTATGCAAAGAAAAGTTTGTAGTCCTTTTTAAATTTCTCTTTTAACTTGATTTAAAAGAGCATGATAATAACAAGTCATTCAAATTAATTTAGTACTTTACACTTTAGAAATGTAAAATCTTGACAAATTTCTACCTTTACGGAATTATTACAGGCATGTAGGTGTTGCAAAAGTTCGGTTATTATTTGTCCCTGCGCGGAATTATCTTCCTTTCTCATGGCACGGTCCACGAGCTTCACTATATTTCTGTAAAAGTGCGTGATGAAGTGCTGAAGGTATTCGCTGTGAGTTTCAGGATCCAGACCCTCCCGCCCTATCCACTCCACTGTGTACCTGCGTAAACCGTCGCACAATTAATCGCGATAGAAATTGCTTATCTCGCGTATATGTTCGGAGAAGAAGGTACCTCTGCAGATTCGTGCTCTCGATTTTATTTGGTAGCCGCTCGTCCCTGAGATCGGCCAACAATTTCGAGGCTTCGTTGTCCAAGCTTCTGTTAGCTATATCCAAAAACAGACTGGCCTTCCTCAGATTTTGAAGATTAATGTTGTTTATGTATCGCACATACGCCAGACAGTGATTTTTCGTATTTTTAACGTTCAGCACACCGTTGATCACTTCCCGCTCAGTCACTATTTCAAAATTAGTGATTATTCGGTTCTTATTATAATGCAAATATATGAAGTAATATCAGCTTGAAAATTTTATTAGTGGAGAACAATATCTCCATCAACAGAGGACATAAGATATATTATGTTTTATTATATTTTATTTGTATAAGGATTGAGCAATTTTTTTTACTGTATCTGTTGGATCTCTTACCGGACATAAAATAATTATGCATTGTATCCTTATCGAACTTCCCGGTATTAAATAAGGATTGTGCGCCTTTCCTAAACAATTTTTGCATTTTGCACATAGTGTCCCACCAGATTGCCTGATCCTCCTGTTGCAGCTTGGGTATTCTCTTGAAGATACACACAAATAAAGAAATAATTAAATGGTAGACAATGCGTTGAATAAATGAAATTACTGAACGTAACCGAAAATTATTTACTTTATTGTTAAAGTTCTTCAGGATAGATGAGATCGGCTGTAGTATGCTTGTTGGCGGCACGGCATTACTATCCTTCTTGTACCACTTATCCAAAACACTAACATCCATCCCTTGGCCCTCCAATTCTGTCCTTAACATCTCTAGTTCCGAACTAAGGACGTACGTTGGTATAGGACGATATCCATACTTCTGTCCAAGGAATACCTATATTCGACGATATATTATATTTGTTTCTTACATTAAAATATACTTGATAGCTCTAGGTCGAAAGTTTGAAAACAGCTCGATTCTCTACTGTGCTCAGTTAAAAGACTAAATTTATTTCTGAAAATGTTAACAAACTCTCAACAAGCAATTTGAGCAACGCAGGATAAAACCATTTAAATTAAAGAGCAAATTTACTGACAACGAAATTGGGTCCCATGGAGAGTCTCTGACAATTTTCTATCTCTCTCATACACAGCTCTGTGGTCATATGGTCGTCAGTGGCTTCGTCACGTACACCCCATCTCATATCAACCACCTGCGAAGGGGGATTTAACCATCATTATGTAAGGCAACTTTGAACTTCTATCGATAACGATATTTTAGTTTACATTTTTAACCGGAGAAAATTGTTGATTAAATAAATATAGCAACGTTTATTAGATAAATAAAATAGTTTATTGAACAACTAATTTTGTCGATAATCCAAGTTTAGTTAATTCTATTATATATATGTGTGTGTGTGTGTGTGTGTGTGTGTGTGTGTGTGTGTGTGTGTGTGTGTGTGTGTGTGTGTGTGTGTGTGAGACCTAAATATAATTATCAAGTTTCCTCGATCTCTATAAGAGATTAGCATGAAAAGGTTGAATCATATATGTACATATACTATATATTATCGGTACCTGGTACCATGAAAATCAATTTCTCCATCCGATAAATATAAGTCATGTTTCACTATGCATACTTATCAGTGTACAGTTAACAACTTGTCTCGATGTGCACATACACATTTTTTTTCTTATAAAAGCAAGTCATACCTGAAATTCTAAGCCGTGTTTTTCTCTGCAATAGTCCTTGAGTTTGGGATAGCACTGAGCCATCAAAGTATTTCTTTCCATTGTCGTGTCTGAAATATAATAGATATGGTTACTATCTATTTCACATTGCAATTTTGTACTGCTTTTGTGCTTCTTTTCCGACTTTTTAACATTATTTAATTTGTATTCTGTATTATTTTTTATTCTGTTGTCTCCTATTATAACTTTAAATACATTCACAGCTTACCAGTAAAAGTCGAGCTCGTGAATATCCGCACAATTTTTGAGCTGACAGGCGGTAAGGATTTCAAGGACCCCGAAAAGATTGAGTCAATCGTCGTTTCGTCCATATTGTGTCTCTTAACGCACCTCGATCCCTGAGCTGGAAATTGAAATCACTCGAGATCAGATCTTATCGCCTGCAGCAATGCTGGCAAACTGCAATCCGCATTGCGTTTCCAATGTCTTATACATCTACAATAAAACTATAGTATCTCGTGAGCTACGTGGTAGTTTGCAGTACATCTTCGTTTGAGTATTCTGAATCACAGATTTCTTACATTATCTACCATAGTTTACATAATATATATATTATTATATATCATACTATTATATTAAAAGTCCGTAAATTGCACAGAACATGTTTTATATTTAAAGTATACATCATACAAATGAAAAAAGATTCTGCTATACTGAGCAAAGTGGTTGCTAAGGCTTGTTTACACAACATAGATCCATTGATTTTAAGACACGTATATATATATATATATATTAGCTCAATATTTAGATCAAGTAAATATTTGTTGTGTTAGATATTTAATATAATCGATTGGTACAAATTTGTTGACATAAAAGTCTGACAGAAGTCAGAAATAAAAATATGAAAAAGATGTACTTTATATGGCAATTTATATTAGTTTTAATTCGAATTTTCTCGCATACATTGAATATTTGATTTTCAGATCTTCTAATGGGCTGTTTATAGTATTCACCAAGGATCTCTCACAACGATCAAAATGGCTCCCGATCCAGTAACACAGATGAACACATATCGTTCATATGTGACCATGCTGGCTGATCCAGGTGCGAAAGACGAATTGAAACTGAAGGCAGCTCAAGAATTATCAGAAAATTTCGAGGTATACAAACTGCCACACAAATTTTATCAAGTTTGCTCATGCGACATGTAGTAATTCTTAATTAGTCTCTCAAAGGATGTAATATGCACTTAATTGTGGTGTGTTAATTATAATACCAAATTAATTGTGCAGATTATTATGTGTTCGTCACAATATCCGGCATTTCTCGATCATATGATGAAGATCTTTGTGAAGATATTGCAAGAAGGAGAGCCTCACTTCATATCGGAATACAATATTCAGCAAGTTAGAAAACTAATTCTAGAAATGATACACAGATTACCATGCAATGATTACTTGCGCCCATATGTCAGGCAAATCCTGGGTCTTATATTTAAGCTACTAGAGACGGACAATGAAGAAAATGTGTTGGTGTGTTTACGCATCATAATCGACCTTCATAAGCAATATAAACCGACGTTCAATCCTGAAGTGAGTAATATTTGTGTCGTACAATTTGTTGTTACTAATTTGTAACTTTGTTGTTGTTAATTTACTTTATATTCCTTTTCCTTTATATTCCTTTAAATTCCTTTATATTCCTTACAATCTTTAACTTTTCTCAACTCTCAATCTTTTACAAATCCAAATATACCTACATAACATTAAAGTCAGATTTGAACCTGAGATCCGTCAATTATGAGTCAATTGTTCGTTCATAGAACCATTCGTCATCCCACTCATACGTGTATCTTATTTAATGTTATGTTATGTTATGTTACGTTATTAATATATGTTATGTTATGTTATTAATGTAATGTTACTTTCTAACTGTTTCGCCTGAAAACAGAAATATTTACAGATTCAATATTTCCTTCAATTTGTCAAATCGGTGTATAGCGAATTACCAAAAAGTTTGTCAAAAATATTTGAACCACGTCCGCCTCTACGTGTGAAAGATCTATCAGAAATCAACATAGAAGCTCTGTTGAAGGAAACGTTTACAATCACAGCAATACAAAGCGAAAAGAAAGCTGCCGATGGTACTGTTGTGACGGTAAGTGTGTGTCTTTATTTTATTTGATACTGAATTTATTCTATTGTATATAATTCGTCTACAGTGCATGTCAAAGTTCCGCAACGGTCACGTCTTGTCAGTTTAACTTTGTGTGATGTCGCCTAGATAAAGTTAACTTTTTTTTTATTATATCTTCTACCAATTAATTTAAACAACTTTCATCTGAAACTTTATCTATTTTGTATAATATTTTGTTTAATATTAAAGGAAAACTTAATAACTTTTTCAATATTTAGCTTACGATATCTCGATAACTGTGTCGGAAGGAGAAATGGTATAGGACTTTTTTTACTTGATTTGGTCTAAAGAATACTGTTATCATTTTCAAAGAAAATATCTCTCATGTCTAGATAATTAACAGTTCTAGAACTTTTGACACGCATTGTGTAGAGCATGATTGAAAATAGATAATAATAGATATGAATCAACTGATGAGTAAAGAAAGAGGTATATGGAAATAATTAGGATATGTCCCATTATTTTCAGTACAATTTGATTCCAAGAGCAGTGCTTTCCCTCAAAGTACTTCAAGAATTACCAATAATTGTGGTTTTATTAAATCAATTATACAAACAGAATGTACACCAAGATGTATCTGATTTTGTTCCAATTGTGATAACGACCATATCGCTTCAACCTAGTCTGCAGCATCGAACTTCACCTGGATTTAATAAGGAGGTCTTCGTTGATTTTATGGGCGCGCAAATTAAAACGCTATCCTTCCTTGCATATGTCATAAGATTATATCAAGATTTAATATCTCAAAACAGTACGATGTTGGTTAAAGGTATATTGGGCCTGTTTACTCTTTGCCCAATGGAAGTGGCTCACTTGCGGAAGGAACTAGTTATAGCTTCACGTCACATACTTGCTACGGATCTACGAAATCATTTTATTCCACATATGGAGATCTTCTTTAACGAGGATATCTTTATCGGCCACGGTTGGACTGCCCACGAAGCTTTGAGACCTCTAGCTTACTCCACGCTCGCCGATTTAGTTCATCATGTTAGGCTTCAGTTGCCTCTCAGCGATGTGTCCAAGGCGGTACACTTATATGGCAAGAATTTACTTGATCAAACTTTACCCACAGCCGTTCAGATGGTCTCTTGTAAATTACTAATGAACCTAGTTGACACAGTTAGGCAAAGATCTGATGCCGAAAACAGCACTCAAGGACGCGAGTTATTGATACGTATACTATTGGTGTTTGTTCTGAAATTTAAAACCATCGCTAAAATCTATATTCCAATTCTGCGAAACAAAACGAAACAGTTACGGCCCGCTGTAGTGGACAATACGGCTGAAGATACGAAGCCGTGTATCGACGTGAACGAGGAAAAAGAGCTACCAAAATCGAAATTCGGCTTCCCGACGTCGCAGGCGATGAGTTACAACGTGGCGGATTATAGAAATTTAGTAAAAAGTTTGGTACATGGAGCCAAAGCGATCACTTCTAACTGCATTAACAGTAGAACCAACGAGGTAACCCAGTCCAATCAACTTCAGCCAAAAGAGACCTTGATTTACATTCAGCTTGTTAAATGGGCTTTACCAGCCCTAGATATTTATACAATAGGACCACCATCAATCGGCGTATCTGCACAACCAGGGAGACCAGTGCAGTCTCAAACTATACGGACGCGAGAAGAAAAGGAGGTGTTGGATCTCTTTGGCAACGTATTCACGCAAATGAACCCTCAGACGTTCCAAGAGATCTTCTCTGTGTCCATAGACTACATGGTCGAGAGAATATTCAAAAACTGCGCCTTGCAAATAATCGGAAGCTCGTTCTTGTCAAGCCACACAGTTTCCTCGACATTCGCGACCATACTGGTGGAATATCTGCTTGAGCGAATGAGCGAGATGGGATCGAACGTAGAGCGCAGTAATCTATATCTGAAATTATTTAAACTGGTCTTCGGCAGCGTATCGCTCTTTCCAGCTGAAAACGAACACATGCTGCGGCCGCATTTGAATCTTATTGTAAACCGAGCCATGGAGTTGGCTATGTCAGCAAAGGAACCGTACAACTATTTTCTGCTGCTGCGTGCATTGTTCCGATCCATAGGTGGTGGCTCTCACGATTTATTATATCAAGAATTTTTACCTCTGCTTCCTAATATGCTGGAGGGACTGAACAGACTACAATCTGGTTTACACAGGCAACATATGAAAGATCTCTTTGTCGAATTATGCTTGACTGTGCCCGTGCGTCTCAGTTCTCTCTTACCGTATCTTCCGATGCTAATGGATCCCTTGGTTTCCGCTCTGAACGGAAGTTACTGTCTAGTAAGCCAGGGTCTACGTACTCTAGAGTTATGTGTTGATAATCTTCAACCTGATTTTTTGTATGAGCATATACAACCAATTCGGGCCGAATTAATGCAAGCACTCTGGAGAACGTTGCATAATTCTAATGATCAAGCACACGTTGCCTTCCGAGTCCTCGGCAAGTTTGGTGGTGGAAATCGTAGAATGATGATCGAACCGCAAAAACTTGAATATGACGATCGAGAAACAAATTCTCCTAATGTAGTGGTTTACTTCCAAGGATTGTCACAACCGATCGATTTTCCAATGGAAAAGGTGATCGAGGCTGCGTTTAATGCGTTGAAGTCTAACACGACAGACGTGTTCTACCGCAAGCAATGTTGGGAAATCATATATTGTTATTTGGCGGCGTCCTTAAGAATGGACGACGACGCTCACCTGTGGTACGATCTGTTTACGCATCCGAATTTCAAAGAGGGCGAGATACCGCCTCAACAAGGACCATACTATAGGTGCCCTGATGCTGTAGCGCGAAACGTTCAGCAAACAGCATTAACCAGCATGTTTGTCGCAGCGGAGATCAAAGAATTGAGGCCGTCGGTGCTCAATACTGTCGTTTCCGTCGTGAGACATTACACGATGATTGCTATAGCGCAACAGGCTGGTCTCTTCAGCTGGACGGAACGGGAAGTCCGCAAGGATATGCAAGGTCAAGACCCACTTGTGCTGATTGACGCTCTTGCCGTCATAATGGGTCACGACGAGAGAGAACTGTATAAAGCTGGGTACTTGGCACTCGTACTGATACTAGAAACTGCGACGAACATTCTGGGTTCTAAGGAGCGGGCATGCCAATTGCCCTTTATGGAGTACTTAGCAGAGAGAATGTGTTCGCTGTGTTACGAGCGAGCGTGGTACGCCAAACTGGGTGGTTGTATAGCGATAAAGTTTCTGTTCGAACGAATGGCTACCAAATGGGTCCTCAATCATCTGTTCGTATTCCTGAAGGCTCTCATATTCGTGATGATGGATCTAACCGACGAAGTGTCTAACGGTGCTATCGACATGGCGAAAGAAAATCTAGAAAAAATGCTGAGAGTTTGCGTGGATCCTGGTATTCAAGAAGATAACGCGGAATTGATAGAGGCACAAAACAAGAGCCTGTACGAGGTCACCCGTGAGCTGGTCAAGCAGGTGACGTCACCGCATACGATTGTGCGTGAACAGGCTATGGCCTCGTTACGTCAACTTGCCGAAATACAAAACAAATCGGTGACGGAGGTCATGGAACCGCATAAGGAGGTTTTGGCAGACATGATTCCGCCCAAAAAGCATCTTTTGCGGCATCAACCGACTAACGCACAGATTGGCTTAATGGACGGTAATACATTCTGCACTACCTTGAATCCGCGTCTCTTCACCATCGATTTGAGTATCATGGAGCACAAGGTGTTCTTTCAAGAGGTGTTGGGTCTCTGTGAAGCAGACGAGGCTACTCTCAATAAGTTGGCTTGCTATAAATCAATTTCGAATCTAATGCCGCTAAGAAAGTCGGCATTACGAGCACTAGCAGCCTGCCATTACATCGAGAATTGCCGGAACAAAATACTCGGAGTTCTATACAAAGCTTTGGAAAAGCCCCATGCTGAGCTGCAGGAGACGGCATTTGAGTGTATGAAAACATTCATCGCTGGATTCCAGCTCGACATGGAGTCTGTTCATACAATGATGCGACCTATGTTGTTGACGCTTGGTGATCATCGAAACCTGAGTCTAGATTGTGTCAGAAGGCTGTCATATCTAACGCAGCTCTTCCCAAGCACGTTCAGTGTCACTCTATGCGAGCAAATGCTGCAACATGTAAAAAAGTTTTTGGAGAACTTAATTCAATCCCACAAAGGTATATCGAAGTCCGGTGAGAACGAGCAAAAGATCACTATTATTATAGGAATATATCACAACATCCCAGCGTCTTTACCCAAGTTCAATGACGCGCTCTGTAGACTCATCCTGCAAACTGAAAAATCATTGCTGGTTGAAGTCTCCAGTCCTTTCAGAGAGCCTTTGATGAAATGTCTTCTGCGTTATCCGACGGATGCCCTTAATCTGTTTTTACATGACAATAATATCAAGGATCAACAGTGGAGCAGATATCTGGAGTATCTTATTAGCCACAAAGACGGCAAGCCGTTTCGTGATATATTACACAACAGCACGGCGCGGCTTGTCACTATGCTGCTTGCTCACTCACAAACGAATTCTAATTTGACTCGTACGGAGAAGAGCGAAGTGCAGTATCGAGCGATCAAGATCATCGGTATACTCATCAAGTACGACGAACAATGGTTATCCACTCAAAGCCAGTTGGTAGGCGCGTTAAAGCAAATCTGGTACAATGATGAGTATCAGGCGTTGCACAAGAAGGTCGAGGGTATCGAGTACTGCCATTGGAAGGAGCCAAAGCACATTGTCAAGATTTTGCTGCATTATTTCCGTCATCAACCGAACGATATCGATCTGCTGTTTCAATTGCTCCGGGCTACGTGCGACCGGTTTGTGTTAGATTTTCAATTCCTGAGGGATTTCTTAGAGAACACAGTGGCCCAGGAATACACAGTCGAATGGAAGCGAAGTGCTTTCTTCCGCTTTGTCGAACATTTTCCCACGAACAACATGTCACAGGAGCTGAAGGCCAACGTTCTGCAGCTGATCATCATACCGTGTTTTGCGGTAAGCTTTGAACGGGGCGAAGGTACCAAATTGGTCGGGGGTGCACCCATGCCTTATCACGATCACCCGGAGAATGTTGTATCAGTATTCATCGGTAAGATAATTGATCCAGACAATCCGTTTGGCTCCGCCGACTGTGTCCGCATCTCCTTGTTGCAATTCTCCTGTCTCCTAGTGGAACAGGCCTCGCAACATATTCACGATGTGACTAACAAGAGACAAGGGAACAAGCTGCGCCGTTTGATGACGTTTGCCTGGCCTTGCCTACTAGGAAAGAATTGTGTAGATCCAACGACTAGATATCATGGTCATCTTCTTTTGAGCCATGTAATAGCCAAATTTGCTATTCATAAACGTATAGTGTTGCAAGTATTTCATAGCTTATTGAAGGCGCATGCTGTAGACGCTCGTAATGTTGTACGACAAGCATTAGAAATATTAACTCCTGCAATACCTATACGAATGGAAGATGGCAATACTATGCTCACACATTGGACAAAAAAGATTATTGTGGAAGAAGGTCATTCTATGCAACAATTGTCTCATATTTTGCAACTGGTTGTGAGGCACTATAAAGTCTACTATCCAGTCAGGCATTATTTGGTTCAGCATATAGTAAACTCGATTCAACGTATAGGATGCACCCCTACTGCCACAATAGAACATCGGCGATTAGCTGTTGAATTAGCAGAGGTGATCGTTAAGTGGGAGCTGTACAGGATCAAGGAGGAATTCGAGGTTGCAGAATCCAGCAAGGCAATGCAACCATCGAGTATAATGCTTAAACGCTCGATCGCCGAGGATCCGTCTGGTAAACGTATGACCTTACAAGCAACGCCGTCCAGTAACAGTCCTGTACCTCTTATTCTACCCAGAATGGAGCCGGGATCAGCGAAACCCATTGAGAGAGCTCACGCCGACGCTGTTTTAAATTTTCTGCTACGTCTGGCATGTCAAGTAAACGACGTAACGACTATTCATGGTAATCCTGGTGAGCAGTTATCCAGACGCTGCGTCTCTCTATTGAAAATGGCACTAAAACCCGATGTATGGGTCGCTGAGCAGTGCGATCTAAAACTAGCCTGGCTTGACAAGGTTCTCGCTAGCGTGGACAGCGCCCAGCCCAACTACGGTAATATCAGCACGGCACTGGAAGTACTAACGTTTTTGTTGGGCGTGATGAAGCGTGAGCAAGTACTTGTCTGCTTTAAACCACTGCAACGCGGAATAAGTGCCTGCATCACCAGTAGCAATACTAAAATTATACGTTTGGTACACGTCTTGCTGTCACGCTTGATGACGATTTTCCCAGCTGAACAGGCTTCTCCCAATATCGCGCCCAAGTACGAGGAACTGGACACATTGTACACTACCGTAGGCAGATTTATAGGCGAAGGACTGACCACTTATGAAAAGACCACCACGGCTATGCCGAGCTCACTTTTTGGCACTCTCATGATGCTTAAAGCGGCCTGTACAAACAATCCCAGTTATATTGACCGGCTGATAACTCCATTCATGAGGGTGTTACACAAAATGGCGAAAGAACATTTGCACTCGACCCCAACCGAGACCAGCCCTATCACGAGCGAGCTGTTGATTCTCAGTTTGGATCTGGTGAAGAATCGCGTGGCAGTAATGGGTGTCGATATGCGTAAGTCATTTATAGGCACAATCTTGGTCGGCCTGATCGAGAAGACGCAAGATGTCAAAGTGATGAAGGCCATCACAAAGATACTGGAGGAGTGGATGAAAAATAAGACCACCATTGCGATGAATCAGACGCCCAGTTTGCGCGAAAAATCCATCCTACTGGTGAAGATGATGCAGTACGTCGAGAAACGTTTCCCCGACGATCTGGAGTTGAACAAGCAATTCTTGGAGCTGGTAAATTACGTTTACCGCGATGAAAGCCTGAAGATAACGGAATTAACTTGCAAGCTGGAGCAGGCTTTCCTGGCTGGTCTGCGTTGTGTACAGCCGCAAGTAAGAGCAAAGTTTTTCGAGGTATTTGACAATTCAATGAAGAGGCGTTTGGTCGATCGTATTTTGTACATTCTCGTTAGTCAGAACTGGGAGCACATAGGATCCCACTATTGGATCAAGCAGTGCATCGAGTTACTGCTGGCAACCGTCAATCCGACTACTTTGGTACAAATGACAAATGAAGATCTCTTGTTGCCCAGCATCACATCTGTTACGCATGGGGGCATGGATAAGGAGAACAAGGATCAAACACACTTTGTCTGCCGTCTTGGACACACTGATGAGGAACAGCAAGACATCAAGATGACGGAGGGAGACTCGAAGGAGATGTTCCTTGAGATGGACGCTTGGTTGTCCAATCTGACAGATTTTATGAGCGCCACCGCTACCGTCGAGGAGATCACCGAGAAACCGAGCTTGATGCAGATGATCAGCAAACAGATACGGTTCATGGAGAACGCGAAGAAGATCAGAACAGAGCAGCTGTTACTAGCGACCGCTCAGCTATGCCACATGGACACAGGGCTGGCGGAGCGCGTCTGGTTGGACATGTTCCCACGAATATGGTCTATCTTGGAGGAGCCTCACCTCCATTCCATCACGGTGGAAATAGCGCCATTCATCTCTAGCGGTGCGCATGTTCCGCAGAAGGAGTGCTATCCGAGCGCGCTTGGCACATTCCTCGAATCACTTGCGCACTGCAATCCACCGGTGGCCATACCTCCGTCTGTGATGAAGTACCTGGGCAGGTCGCACAATGTTTGGCACCGGATAACGCTAAGTTTAGAGCAGATGGGCGCCGAGATGGCGGCGGACGGTAACGGTGGTAATGCGAAGACTCGAGGCGAGTCTGAGTTGTTTTACTTGCCCGAAGAGAACGATCAGATAGAGTGCGTCAATCCCTATTACGAGGTGATGCACATGCTTTCAGAAATGTATTCGTTGCTCTGTGAAGAAGACATGTGGTCGGGCCTATGGCAGAAGAGACCTGCGCATTACAAGGAGACCTTGCATGCGATTGCACTGGAGCAGCAAGGATTTTTCGAGCAGGCACAAGGTGCGTACGAAGTATGCTTGACTAAGTTTCGACAGGACTACCCGTCTGGCCCGGCACCTTACCACCTCAATGTGGAAATGCTTCTCTGGGAAAAACATTGGGAGCGCACTCTAAAAGAGCAGAATCAGTGGGACACTCTGTTGGAGCTGGGCGGCAACCATAACTACAACAATCCCTTCCTCGTCCTAGACAGTGCCTGGCGTATTCCCAATTGGTCGGCGATGAAGGAGATCCTCGCTCAGTTAGAGCACAATTGTCCACGGGAATTAGCCTGGAAGGTATTACAACATAATAATCCTCAAGAAAAAGATCAACGCTTTATAGTTTTTTTCTTTTAATTTGCTGACTTTATAATGTAATCTTGTCATAAATGTGTATGTTTCAATACCAAAAGGAGACTTTGCGAACTCATAATTTTTTCTATGCTTTTGTAGATGAACTTGTACCGTGGATTTGTAACGTTATGCAGCAACGAAGATCAACACCTGAGTACTGTCGAGCGTTACGTCGAACTTGCGTCAGGTGCGTGCATGCGTGAATGGCGGAGACTGCCGCGCATCGTTAGTCACGTCCATCAACCGTTGCTACAAGCGGCCCAACAGATAATGGAGCTTCAGGAGGCAACGCAAATCCATCAGGGACTATTACATGGCAGAAGTAATTCGTTACACGACATGAAGGCTATTGTAAAAACTTGGCGCAATCGTTTGCCCGTAATCGCCGACGATCTCAGTCATTGGTCGGATATTTTCACGTGGCGACAGCATCACTATACGTTCATCTCGAATCACTATGATTCCCAACAAGATCCGACACTCACCAATCACTCGTTGCTTGGTATTCACGCCTCCATGCAAGCAATTATTCACTTCGGCAAGATTGCGAGAAAGCAGAATCTCTGTGGCGTTTGCCTTGACTCTCTAGCCAAGATTTATAACATTCCCACGAGCGTACCTATGGTCGATTGCTTTCAGAAAATCAGACAACAGGTAAAGTGCTATTTACAGATGGCCACTATGGGAGGACAGAACGAATTGCAAGAAGGTTTAGACGTACTAGAATCGACCAACATGGGTTACTTCACAAAGGAAATGATAGCAGAGTTCTGCGCACTGAAGGGCATGCTTCAGTCACAATTGGGCCGCTCAGACGAGGCCAACAAGAGCTTTTCTGCTGCGACTCAGTTGCATGACACTCTTGTCAAAGCTTGGTCACTCTGGGGCGATTACCTCGAAAGTATCTTTACACGCGACGGACACACCCGCCAGATGAACATTGGTGTAAGCGCTCTTGTGTGTTTCCTACATGCCTGTAGGCATCAAAATGAATCTAAATCCAGGAAGTACATTGCTAAAATTTTATGGCTGCTTACCTACGATGACGAAAAGTCACTACTCATGGAGACCTTGGACAAGTATGCCGTAGGTGTACCACCCATTCAGTGGCTACCCTGGGTACCACAGTTGCTGATGTATCTGGTGCGCTACGATGGCAGTGTAATCCTGAACTTGCTGAGTCAAGTTGGTAGAATGTTCCCACAAGCAGTGTATTTCTCTATACGTACTCTTTATCTGACGTTGAAAATAGAACAAAGGGAGAATTGGGAGAGATACAAGAGTGGCGAATTGGTAGCTAGTAAAGATGGTGTAGAAGATCGAGGTTCTACCACAGCTGGCAATGTACAGCCGCAACAGGGAATACCGGAAACAGGTCATACGGTACGTGCTACAGCGCCCATGTGGAGATGCTCGAAGATCATGCATATGCAGAGAGACATCCATCCAACTATTTTATCCAGTTTGGAGGGTATAGTCGATCAGGTTGGTTGGAATGTTCCTTTACTTTTCCATTTATTCATATCCATTTTTATTGTCACATAATAAAATATAATAAAAACATACAGCCAATATATAATGGACATACATGTGTATATGTACATGTTATATCAACCGAGTATATAGCACAAAATTATAGAGATTTTCCATTAACCTGACATACATATGTGAGTTTTCTCTTATTTTAATGTCAGGAATTTGCTTTCAAGATTTGTCGCGCTTCAGAAATATTTCATGTACATATATTCGCTTTACTTATACACCAAGTGTTTCTGCAATTAAATTTAAGTTTAAAATCAAGATACGCATCTTTATGTCAAGATTCAATATTTTAAAATATTCCGTATAAAAAAAGTATTATAAATTTCTATTTCAGATGGTGTGGTTCCGTGAGACATGGTATGAAGAAGTTTTAAGACAACTGAGACAAGGTCTTGCAAAGTGTTACGCAATAGCGTTCGAGAATCGCGGTGCAGTCAGCGAAGCTACAATAACTCCTCACACATTAAATTTTGTGAAGAAACTTGTTTCGACCTTTGGTATTGGCATTGGTAAATTCATTCATTTTCTGCATTTGTTATAAAACGAATTTTGGACAAAGGAAACGATTTCGAACGTGTACTTTGCAACTTGCAGAGAATATATCATCTTCGCAAAACATGAGCAGCTCGTTTAGTTCGGCGGCATCGGAGTCTTTGGCTCGTAGAGCACAAGCTACTGTACAGGATCCTGTTTTCCAGAAAATGAAGGGCCAATTCACTAGTGATTTTGATTTTACTGTACCTGGAGCTAGATTGCTACACAATCTCATCAGTAAATTGAAGAAATGGATAAAAATTCTCGAAGAGAAAACAAAACAACTGCCAAAGTAATATTTTACTTTTTAATTGTTTTACAATAATTTCTTTTTTCTACTGGTTCCGTGGACTACAGATTCGTGCATTGCTTTGCAGATCTTTCTTAATCGAGGAAAAATGTCGCTTTTTGAGCAACTTTAGCTTAAAAACCGCGGAAGTCGAGCTGCCCGGTGAATTTCTAATACCTAGGGTAAGACAGTCAAATCATAATTTAAAATCCTCTATTCTCAATAAATACGTATAATTACATAATGACATAATTACACATCACAATATTATTCCATATACCATTAAAATAAAACAATCAACGTGATCTTATTGCGAAAAATATTAAAAATAAAAAATAAAATATAATAATTAAAATATTACCTCAGCTAGGATTCAAACTAGGGGCTGAGGTAATATTTTTCGCAATAAGATTTCTTTACAGTACGGAGAAGGGAGTGTGGTATTGAATGCTGAATTTATTAGAAATTTATTAGATTAATTAAATTTATTAGAAATCGTTTATCGATTAATACGTAAATTTGCTGACGACAATATTCCATCTAACGAAACTGTGTTATGTCCGAAGAGAAACCGGCGCACAATACAGATGGAAAAACGGTATATGAATTCACATAATAAGATTTGAATTATTAGGCTACATCCTGCTTGGACTTACATAGCATTCTCGCGTTGGTTGTTTGATTTTATCTGGGGGCTTTATTTAACTCTAATGACCATTAAAGTTTGAGTGAAAAATAAAGGTGAAATTGGATGTGAGAGTTTCCGCTATCCCGACAATTTAAAATTAAAGATGCCCAACGCTATAATAATATCTGGCATTTGTATTTTTGTTTTCTTAGACGATAAAAATAATGTTTGATGTTGAACGAGGAAAATGCCTGTGCTTTGTTAATCCTTTCTAAAATTTTATGTCCTCCAGCACTCGCATTATTCTGTCAAGATAGCGAGATTTGTACCGCGCGTTGAGGTGGTTCAACGACACAACACGGCCGCTAGGAGATTACGCATTCGCGGCCATAATGGTCGCCTCTATCCCTATTTAGTGGTCAACGACGCCGGTCTGGGAGACGCCAGACGTGAGGAACGTCTGTTACAACTGTTACGCATGTTGAACCACTATCTGACGAAGCAGAAGGAAACGTCACGACGTTTCTTGCACTTCACAGTGCCACGACTCGTCGCGGTTTCACCGCAGATGAGACTCGTGGAGGACAACCCGGCAGCAATTTCCCTGTTGGACATTTATAAGCAGGGCTGCGCCAAGCTGGGAACGGAACGCGACGCACCTATTGCCAGATATTATGAGAAACTGGCTGCCGTACAAGCACGGGGCGCGCAAGCCAGTCATCAAGTGCTGCGGGATATTCTCAAGGAAGTACAGACCACAATGGTCTCCAAAACTATGCTCAAAGATTGGGCAATGAAGACATTCCCCGGCGCCACTGACTATTGGACATTTAGAAAAATAGTAAGTATTTTCAAATGCTAGAGGTTGAAAGCATAGAGGTCGTAATTTCTTCGGCTAATTTTTAGCCGATTTTATATTGCGTAAATTTATGTATGTATATCAAATCTAGAAAGAGAGAAATGAATTGCATTTTCTGTCTGATTCAGTTACTTCGTGTGAATTAATATAAGAAAGCTTATTATCCTTCTTTACTTATAGTATTGATGCACAAAAAAAGGAGAATATTTTTAAATTATCGACCAAGAGAAGTGGAGGTGGAAACTCATGTTCTCATCTTTCTGTTCTCAGTTCACCTTACAGCTATCTCTGACATGCTTTGCCGAATACGTGCTTCATCTTACGCGACTCAACCCCGACATGATGTACGTGCATCAGGATTCCGGTCTAATCAACATCGCGTATTTCAAATTCGACATCGACGACATCTCCGGAGAGTTGGACGCGAAGAGACCGGTGCCTTTCCGCCTAACGCCCAATATCTTCGAATTTCTCACAACTATAGGTCAGTTGGACACAATCTTCATCTGCTCTTCTGTCACGCGATAAAAAATATCTTTATATAAATATCTTTTGTATTTGGATATAATTTTAACGGAAACAAATAAAATATCGTTTATTTTCTGCAAATTAAATAATAGGTATTTAATTATATAGGTATTGAGGCCAATTTATGAGCAGAAACATCTTAGAATATGATAAAAATCACACGTTTAATAAATTACAATAAATACATTAATGACACATTGTAATTTGTTAAATGAATGTTCTTTTTATTATATTCTAACTTGCCGTTGTTCCTAATTGGTCGTAATAATACCTATTATATATAATAACTTTAAATATAGAAGTACTTCTAGTACTTCGATTCAGTATCCGTTATTGTGCAGGCGGCCTTCAAGTTTTTTCAGATTTCACAAGGTTGATCTTTTGCAGGAGTTTGCGGACCACTGACCGCTAGTGCAATCGCCACGGCACGCTGTTTGGTTCAGCCCACGTTCCAGCTGCACGCTATACTTCGCGCAATTCTGCGGGACGAGGTGATCGCGGATCATAAACGGCAGGAAGATGCCGAGGGCAAGTCGCAAGCGCCAACCGATTTGAAGGGCGAGCTTCTGATAAAGATGGTGAACCATGCGGTTAATACGATCGTCGGTAGACTGAATTCTCTCGCGAATTTCGACGGCATTGATAGTAAGGTCAGCACACTGGTGGCCGCTGCCAATAGCCATGATAATCTCTGCAGAATGGATCCCTCGTGGCACCCGTGGCTCTAAAACACGGAACATTTAGCCTAACCGTTTGCGTTATCAATGAACGAGAGAGAAGAATCGAAATTGTTACGTTATTTATTCAGTTCTCTTGCCCATATATGTTCTTATGTTTTATAACACTAACACTGGCTCTGAAATTCAGAAAGCTGTCGAGACATGAAAGATGATAAGGATAAGTTAGAGGATAGAAAAGTATTATTTATAGTTTATACATATATTTATATATTTATGATGTATTATATATCAATATATGTATATTGATAGACTATGTGCATACACATTAGTGGAATTTTGTACAGCGTAAATCCAAACTTTGTAAACTGCGGATTTCACTCTATTCTCTGACTCTATGTACATTTATTGCATTGCTTACAAACTCATTTTCACTATATACATATAAACATACTATTTACATAGCGCTTTGATGTAACGTAAAGCTCTAGTTTTTATTTATTAAGAAAACTAGATTTTAAAAAACTTGTGTAGATAATTTGTAAGAACAGTTTTCGCTAAGAAGCGGAATATAGGTCTGACATATAAAGTTCTTACTTATTATAAATAACATGGACATTTGGAAACTATATGCAAATTATGTGAAAATATGTATGAAATAATAAGGTTCTTTAAAAAAAAAGATGTTTTGCTGTTTCCAACGTATCTAGTTTTCACGATAAAACGCTTTTCGTATGTGAAAAGTAAAAATTGATTGTTTTTCAAGAAAATTCTGCTAGTAAGCACCTTTGTGTATAAATACTAGAGTTCTCTCCCCAATTGCATACAAATTCAATAGGTTGAATTTATATATAAATTAATATGTACTCTTGATGATCACGTAATAATCTTTATTTATAAAAATACTTGTGTAAATTTTAGCTCTTTAAACGCAGACGTACTACATTACTTATCATGTTTTTAAATGATCATATTTAGATACCTTATCTATGATTTACTATATTTTCTAATTTTAGCACACTTGGTAAGTTCGACATTTGTTTTATACATACTTTAACAACTAGGCGTCATAGATGAGGGGAGTCCATGGAAAAAAAATATTTAAAAAATCGTGATAACTTTGATTTTTGACACAATTTTTAAGTAGAACTTATAAATTATAAATTTTTATTTCTTTAAGTGCTATTGAACTGTAAATTTATTAAATCTTCTAAAAATATTCTCAAAGTGACTGTATCACCTTCAGATATTTCGTCCTAACTCGTTGTAGCAAGGACATAGATATTGAGAACATAATTTTAACAAATGTCACGAGCATGATATTTTGTGCGATAAGTATTAATTTTATCAATACTTATCATACAAGTATGATTGACTCAACAATTATTGAACATCATTATTTATTTCCGTTTATTATGATTAACCTATAAATCATAGCGGAAAGGATTGCCCAACGACAATCTTCTTTTATAAACTGTTAAAATATTACAGGCGCTCAGTACAAGTACTCTAATTATCATTGTCAGTTGTCCTGCTAATATAGCAGTACAAGAGTGCAATAAGAATTCGGAGAATAATATTTGTACATTATATGAATTTTGTATATATAAAATTGATGTACTTGTGTTCGTCAATACCATACCTATGAAGATACATTTTCTATATTACGATAATTTTTTTTATTTAGTGGGCTTCAGATTAATATTTCGCAACATGCACAAATCTCGCGCGGTGGCCTTGCGACCAATCGTGGTTTGTATGTCGTACAATCTCAGGAGAATGTCAGTCGTGAATAATTCGGGCAGTGCTTTGAGAAGGCAAGGTACCTGAAAACAGAACGTTATTACCAATAGTTCATTCCGAGTTGATCGCGGATTGCATGAAAGGAAAGGAAAATTGCCTAGAAAATCTCGTATAATGGTTTTCAAACGCTCGATATTGAGAAGCGAAAATGAGATTGCTGTTGCACGGCTATTCTATTACAAGTATCAAAACGTACTAGCGTTTGTGACATTCCCTGCAGCACGATGCGAGTCCTGTCTTTCCCGCACTGCACCATGAGTCGTAGGAACTGGAGTATAAAATGAGTCTGTTGGGACACCTCGCCGTCTCTACCAGCCAGAAAGGCGAATATGGTGAAGAGATTGTTCAACGCCGTCATAAGCGGATCCCTGAGAACGATGACCGACTTTTGCCCGTTACTCGAACTTTGCGCCTGCGGACTCTGCGAGCTGAACATTGGAACGTTCTCGCCCGTCTCGTTCAGTCGTAGCAGCTTGTTGGATACACCGAGCGCGTCCAGATCATCCGCATCCAGGTCGCGTCGTACACGCTTACGGTTGTTCCCTCGATATGGATTAGAGTTGTTGTACTCCAAAGTGGAGAATATGCAGTACACACACAATTTCGCTAGAATGGATGACTGCGGTTCCACAAGCTCGTCACTCCTGTGCGAAACGGAATTGGCATGTAACAAATATCTTGCGTATAAATTCGAAAAAATTGATCTCGAGGTACGACGATACGACGGACTTACAACGAGTTGTGCAGATATTGCGGTATTATGTGATTTATGAGATCCAAAGTGCAGTTCTCTATGTCAAGATGGAAGATCGCGAAGGCCAAATCCACAGCTTGATCCAGTTCTACTTGATAGCGATATTTGAGCACTTCCTTGACTATATTTGTAACGAACCATAAGGAACCGCCGGTATTTAGCAGAGACTCCAATGATTGCGTGGCTTGTATGTTTATCCATCCACGTTGATTTATGTTCTGCCAAACTGATTCCAACTGCTCCAATATCGGTTGCCGCGATATAATACTGCAAGAAACATCGTAATAATCTCGAAGAAACACAGTAATGACAATTCGTTCCTCGAAGAATAATACCTGTGGGACATCGAGAGCACCTTTGTTTTCGACTGTGTAGGCGGGTGCACATCGTACTGCATTTTCCGAATAATTTGGAACATTAAGCTGGACCTGGCAGAAAAAGAGATGTATAAGATTGCAATAAGAATGAACAAGATTTTCCTAAGGAAAAATTCAACTTTTTAACAATGTTCTACAATCGATTACATATTCACGCATCTACTCCACTGTTTTACCTGTCTTTAAGATTGTCCTGCATCTCGTCACCCGACAACGGCGTTAAGAAGTGCTGAACCATGTTCATGGGTTTCAGCAGAGCATCCTGGTGCGTGATACTCATGTACGCGCAGAGCCATGCGGCGGCACACACCGGCAAACAACAGGCTGTCGTTCGCAGACCATCCAGGGCCCTTTTAACGTCGCCGGCACCCAGCACCCCGCTCTCCCACGCGCAGAGCAACTCTTTCACCGCGCCCATCGCCGACTGGCATGCGACGTGCCATTTCAAATTACTCGACTTGAAGTCCGGATCCGGCGAATTAATCTGCGCCAGTAGGGCGTCCACCCTCGCCGGATCGACGCTCTGCAACATCCTCTGTGGCGACTTGAGCTTGTTCCGCTCAAGCATGCATTCGCGCACCCATTGCTCAAAGAACGAATCTCCGCCTTCCTCTAGGACAACCTGAAAGCAAAGTTTCTCTTGTATGGTGTTCATAACAGTACGCGATCAACATGCCAAGTCACAAGGTCTCTCTTCGCGTATGAAATTCGAAATGCGCATCAACGCCGAACTTACATCAGAGCCATACGTTTGGACTATAGAGCACAACATGAGAAACGATACATCGAATAACATTGCTCTCGTGGCTGCCGTCTTGTCGGGCACAGGCTCGTTGATCTGTTTACTACACTCGTTAAACTTGATGAGTTTCGTGACGAAGGTCTTCAGTTCTCCCTCCACGGTCGCCACAGCCAGCATCAGTTCGAAGCTCTTACCCGTCAAGACTTGGTAAAGCACACTCAACAAGCCTTCCTGAATTTTTGCGTAATCGGCGTTCAGCGTCCTCAAGATTCCGTTTAATGTCTGCCCCGCGCGCACAATTACCTTCGGAATTGACGACGTCGTGGTCGTCCCCTCCCTGGAACGATCACTAATGAAACTCGATCATCTATACGTCCAAGTTTTGCCACAGTTTGTTTACCACGTACATACCTCCTGGCGCCTATTTGCTTCGCTTGCTTTTCCGTCACAAGGTTTACCTTCTGCAACTCATTCAGCAAGCATTCTACGTAATTGCACGAACATGCGGTATCCATTATGTCGAGCAGAGGCGTGAACTGGAGCAGCAGATCAAAGGCATCCAGAATATCTTGCGAGTACTCAAACTTTTCGTCACCTGCAAAGACAGAAAGATGTGAAACCAAATTTCGTTTCCTCCCCAACGTTCAGAAAACTCGAAACGGTCTTGCCAACCATTCAGATTAGCCACGTGTAGTTCCTTCAGTATGTGAGGCACTTTCAGAAACGTGAAAGCGCCCCACTGTGATTCCTTGAATGTTCCCGTTACATTATGCAGGCACATGAGGCAGGCGCGGATGATCTCGCAGTAAAGCCGCGCGTTTGTATAGCTCTTTAATCGCTGCACCATCAACAGCTGGTTGACGAACACGGTCGTCTCGGTGCTCGGGTTCAGCAGTACTTGAACGGCAAAGAGCGGCTGCAGGCAGTGGGTAATGGACTCCATTTTAATCTTCTCAGGACAGAGACTCTCAAGCTCCAAATTGCACAACTTTTTCAAGGAGTCCTCTATTGGTACCACGGACTTCTGGGTGCTTGTCTTCAGTAATGCCTCGATCTCCTGGCATTTCTTCACAACTTCTACATATAAATCTAAGAAAAAAAGAACAAATGCACAAGTGCACAAAAATAGAGTAGAACGTAGAACGTTGAGTAACTTTCCACTGGTTGTCACCTTTGTCGTCGTGCTTAGCCAGATACATCATCGCGCATAGAAAGTCCGAGTTCAGCATCTGTTGCAAAATACTAGCAGGCTTGTCTATGAGTTCGCTCGGGTGTGGAGTGAGAGGATTACTCTGGGGCGCCTTTGTCAGGGTGTGCAAGTAGCACTGCAAGAGCCAATGTACAATGGACAGGACCGCCGCGGCCAAGAGGTCCTCCTCCGGTTTACCGCGGCACGTGATACCGGCTTGTATGGACTCCAGGAACTCCAGCAGACTCACGATGCAGTGGGGCTTGTGAAACGCGTCGTATTTACTTATTCGCTGCAACACCGCTGCGTACGACACCAACTGCGAGACAATTTAAAATAAATATATCAAGGAATTAAGATAACATAAAAATACATGTAAAAAAATTGAGATGCACAACAAATTATGATAACCCCTGAAATATACAGGGTGTAACGGAACACGCGGGCACAACTTCACTGGTGGATGCAGGGGACACTAAAATAAGAAAAAATGTTCATACAAACGTTACAGTATCGTAACCTACTTTATTAAAAAAATGCTTGAAGCGACCGCCTGCGATTCAAGACACAAAGTGTCTTGATGTTTACACAATAACAAGATCGTGCATGACGTATCAAATGTTGTTCATCAACAGATGAAAAAGAACTGTTTATAAAACAATTATTAGAGAAAAAAAACGGCTATAACTTGGAAACAGAATACTGTAGGACAAACATTATATCACCATTTTTTTATTAAGTCGGAACTTGTAATCAAGAATTGTATTTGGACAATTATGTTAGATTGACATGCACTAATAACCGCGTTTGACTCTTACAGTCTAAATCCCTTTTTCTTTTTCATTTTTTTTCTTGTCTTAACATCCTGAATCCACCTGTAAAGTTATGTCCATATAAAGTATATATAAAGACAAACCTGAGAGCTTAACGAATGCTTCAGATACGACAGCACTAATTGATTAGGTCCTGGTCCCACTAACGCTTGTTGTAATATACAATCCGCCAAGTTATAGACATCGCCACTTACTCCTCTTGGCAAAATCTGGATGTGACGATTTAAAAAACCATGTAGAACTTTAAAGATCACAGTGGAAAGTATGTCGATGAAATGTGGATGCTTACAGTTTTGATATTAATACCCCATTGCAAATCAGTCCAGCGCTCTCGCCAAGCTCGCAGCAAGAGAGCTTTTAAGCTGCTGGTTTTACTAGTCACTTTAGTCTCCATTGGTAATGTTAGAACATTATACAATTTCTACCACATTACGGGGACGATTGCCAGTTTGTAGTAGACAGAACACCCTGTTGAAATAGGATTAATATCAGCTGTAAATAAGGAAAGAGTTTAATTAGATTTTCTAACACAAACATGAAATAATTATTTCTAATAATTCGTTAGCATTTTACGAAACAGTTTTGACGCTTTACAGAATATTACCATTTACAGTGTAACTTGACAATTATTCTAACCTTCGCAGAATATCTCTTCGGCATTTGTAGAAGGACCTACAGCGGCTTTATCGTAAATTCACTAACGAACAAATAGGAATCGTTATTACGAACTTATCGCTCCTCTTCATATTCACTCTCCTTCATAATGAATCGTTGTAAATATACAAATAAAATCTATCGTTCACTTAACCTTAAATCAAGATACCCGGGAAGCTCCCACCCACGGTCTTACGTACAGGTATGGAAACATCGAATTTTTAATGGTGGGGGTTACTCCGGTTACTCCATTACGAAGATATGTTTCTCGTTTGCGCTTGATCGTCACTGTGCGTCGCTACGAGGGAGGGCAAACCTTTGACTATATAGGACATAGAGCTATTACAGATAGAGGGAAGTAGGTATGGGACGACGTGTAAGCGCATGCGATAGTGGGATAAAAAGAGAACGTTGCAATAGAGGCCGGTGTGTCACTGTCTAACAGTCACGCGCATGCGCGTAACGTGTGCGCTTGTAGGCAGAGTGTGTCTCTTTCTTTCTTATAAAAGCATGTAGAAAGAGAGAGATGCACTCTGAACTAGTGCAGTTAGGCGCACGCAGTACCTAATACGCATGCGCTATGAGACAATGACACACCGGCCTCTATTGCAGCGTTCTCTTTCTACGGCTATATCGCGTCCTTCGTTGACTCCCTCCCTCTATCTGTAATAGCTCTATGATATAGGATGTGTTCGAAAATGGA